ACATGGTTAGGCTCCAAAGACCAGGTTGTTATGCAAAAATCAGCATTATGTGAAAATGGAGGATGAGCACGTCAGATCACAAAAATGGAAGATGACTACATCATTACATAACTGCCACATTACATCATTACATAACTGCCAAACTGCTGAGAATCATGGCCCAGACAAGGTGACACATAACCTTAACCATCAAAGCCAGCGTTACTCTTTTTTTAAAAAAAAAAATTTTATTGTGCGTTAGGTGAAAGTTTACAGAGCAGATTAGATTCCCATTCAATAGTTTGTACAAAAAGTGTTTCACGACATTGGTTTCATTCCCCACCATGTGTCAGCATTCTCCCCATTTCTACCCTGGGTTCCTCATTTTCTTTCATCCTGATTTTCTACCCCTTCCTGCCTTCTCATCTTTGCTTTTGGGTAGATATTGCCCTTTTGATCTAGTATAATTGATGGTTCTAAAGATCACTTTCCTCTTGGGTGCTACTGTTTATTTTATGGGCTTGTCTATTTTTTGGCTGAAAGGTGATCTCTGGGAATGGCTTCAGTTCCAGATCAGGAGGTTGTCTTAGGGCCATAGTCTCGGGGGTTTCTCCAGTCTCTGTCAGACCAGTAAGTCTGGTCTTTTTGTGAATTTGATTTTTTGTTCTGCAAACAGCTAGTTATTTTATTTTATTTTTTTATTGTGCTTTAAGTGAAAGGTTACAGTTCAAGTTAGTTTCTCATACAGAAATTTATACACACATTGCTATGTGACCCTAGTTGCCAGCGTTACTCTTGGCCTTGCACCTCGGTGTTCATTATTGCCAGATGTATGTCATTAATGGGCAAAATAGTCAGATAGTAGATTTTTTACTACTGTCATGAATGCGAAGTGTCGGATACGAAATAGCGGGTAAGTGAGGAGTAAGTGTATTGTATCATTCCATTTATATGAAATATCCAGAATAGGCAAATGCATGGAGACCAGAGTTTATTAGTGGTTACCAGAGGCTGGGAGCGGGGTGGATGGGGAATGTTAGGATAGCAAATCCTACTCCTCTGATACCAAATGTGATGATTAATTCAAAGCAATGTATTGTCAACTGTTCCCCTCCCGTCTACTTCTGTTCCGACGCAGCTGCACCGGAGCTGGGTCAGCGCTTATAAGCTAACGGGCAGCATCCTGCAGACTGCCAAGTCTACCCATGACCCCAGATACCAACCACAAGCTTGGGAGTCCCCACGACACCCTCACTTCTGACCTGCCGGCTCCTACAGCTCCCTTGGGTTCAATAATTCGCCAGAGTGACTCACAGAACCCGGGAAAATGCTACACTTACGATCACAGTTTTATTACAGCAGAAGGGATACAAAGAGATGCCTAAGATGTGGTCTGGGAGGGTCCCCAACATGAACGTGCTGCCCTCCCACATGTATCAATGTCTTTAACCAGCCAGGAAGCCCATGGAGCTTCCATGTCCAGAGCCTTTTCTGGGGCCTCATTGCATAGGCAGGATTGATTGAATCAGTCCCTCCCTGACGTCAGCTGTTATCACAAGGTGGTCTCTCTGTCCTGGCCAGCCCCCACCTGAGTCACCTCATTAGCATAAGCCTTCTGGTGGTTCAGTCACTGGGAAAGATACTTCAATCACTGGTAAATTCCAAGGTTTTAGAGGTTGTCTCAGGAACAAAGGACTAAGACCAAATTCTTTGGGTGAAGTTAAGTTCTTTACCCATAGGGAGTTACTGGTTAACCGGAACAGAGTCTCTCTTTGGGGGCAATGAAGAAGGTA